AGCTAAAGAGACAACATAAACTGTCAGCTAAGAAAGAGCCTTCCAATGAACAGAAACCACATTAACCAACAGGCACGCTCAGCTGGGTTATGGCTCAGGAACCAGGCATGCAGGCACAAAGTCCTGGATTCCACCACTGGCAAGACATCCCAGAAAGCAACACGGTCCCATGTTTCCTCTTCATACCTTGTTGACAGTTCCATGAAGAAAGTATTTATAGCTTCATTTTAATTCCCAGGAAATTAAGGCTCTGTGACCTTCACCCTTGTCCCCAAGGGTCTGGAGCGCTGGCCAACCCTAGCCATTGTGGAGTGCGGATTTCCAGCTGAGGACTCTGATCTGCTAGTCCATGCTGACACTCAACCATTGCAGTTTCCAAGGAAAACAAAATCAGATATGAAGCCCCAGAGTAGAGATCATTTCATCAAGGCTAGCAGCGGCCAGAAATAAACCCCAGCCCTCAGCGCAGGCAGCCCTCAGCGTAGGCAACACAGTTGAAATAATGCTGTACTGATGGCTGGGGTAAACGAACGGTGTGTGTCTCCATTTAGCTACGGCTCTGGGGCTTGAATGCAGCTTACTGCAAAGTCCATGCCTTGACTAACCTGCTTAACAATCAAGAATAAGCTGGTACTTCACGGGGATGGGCACACACCGCTATCCTGCTTCCTTGCTCCTTGATTTAAGACAGCGTCTCACTGTGTAGGTCAGGCTGTCCTGGAACTCACTGACATCCACTGCCTCTGCTTCCCAAGTGCTGGGATAAAAGGTGCTAACACTGTACCTAGCTCTTACTCCTATTTCATCCTGGTTTCATTCACCCCCACCTATTTTTTTTTTTTAGTTTGAGACTGGGTCTCATTGTATAGCCCAAGCTGGCTGGGAACTCATCCTGATGTTCCCGCCTCCTGCACTCTGGGATGGTGACAGCCCTGTCACCAGACAGAGCTCACACTTCGTCCTCTCATGTCACAGAGCCTCCCACATTGTGAGGAGATGAACTGGTGCGGTCAGTGGCCCCTTCTCAGCATCTTTCCAGCTGACAGAGAGGGGCCACTGCAGTGTGGGCCATGCTGGTCACAAAATATATCTACATCTTTATCTTCCTCTCTCTATTATATAAAACAAACAAACAGAAAAGTGCTGGAGATGCTGCATACTGAGGTATTGCCCTTGTCTAAAACACTCAGTGCAGCCTCATACACAAGTTGCCTGAAGTGAGCTATGGGGTTGGTAGGGCAGGCAGACACGCAGGAAGACCACGGATCTTCTCGCCATAGACCAGATTTCCAGCTTAAGACACTTGCTAACGCAATACAGGGAACTCATTATTTTAAAAGGGATCAAAAAACATTTTTATAATTCCATTTTAAAATTTGTTGCACTTTTTATGTCTGTTTTTGCAATAGTGTATGTACGTTAGAAGTTCATGATTAAAACAGACATAGGTGAACCACATAAACCAACTGGGGTCTTTAGGGGACTTTGCTGTGGTGCTGGGACCTGAACCCAGGTCCTTTGCAAGAGCAGCAACTATTCTAACACAATCTAGCTCTCTAGTCCCTAAATTACATTATCATTTATCTGTGCATATGCGCATGTGTATCATTTATCTGTGCATATGCGCATGTGTATCATTTATCATCTGAGCATATGCGCATGTGTATCATTTATCTGTGCATATGCGCATGTGTATCATTTATCATCTGAGCATATGCGCATGTGTATCATTTATCTGTGCATATGCGCATGTGTATCATTTATCTGTGCATATGCACATGTGTATCACGGCACACATGTGGAGGGCAGAGGACAACGTGTTAAGAGCCACGTTTCTCCAGCATTCAAGTCTTTAGGTGTGGTGGCAGACACCTCGACTCCGCTGAGCCACTCATTAGCCCTTAAGAGGGATCTTACATAAGGCTGTTTATCCTAGAATCTGCTGTCCAATACATGTTTAAAATTTTATAGCTTTTTATCTGAGCATCACATAGGACTGCAGACAAATGCCTCTCTGGACTCTATTTCTAGACAGTTTGTTTTCATTCCTGGAGAAGGAACCCTGACCCAAGGCTGACTGGTAGCTCTGGCTCTGTGTGTAAGAGGCACCCAACTCATGGGATTCTGTTACCTTCTAGGCCAAGAAACACCAAGGAGGCCCAGAATAGTGAGAGTCACGGTGTCACGTCTCTTCACACCACACTGGTCCTGTGTGCTTCCTTTAAGATCTGGGTCCACTGTGTCCCCTCCCCTCACAATTTCTTAAGGGCAGGAAAGGGGGCACACAATCCCGAACAGAGTGCAGAGCTGGCCCTGACAACCCCTGACACACAAATCTCCCAAAGCAATACCAGCAGCCTGGAGGTATAACACACCACGGAGTTCTCACCAACAGAGCAAGGGCAAGCAGTAAGAGCAGCTCAGCTGAGCTGCCCCACCGCCACAAGGCTGTAGAAGATTTTTTTTTTATAGTTCAGACTCTTTCAGCTGCCGTAGGAGGGGTGTACACTGCACTGTTGTGAGGGCATGGACAGCGGGAGCACAAGGCAGCAGCAGGAGGCTCCTTTCTCAACCTTGTCCATACGCAGGGGCTTTCAGCAGGCCAGTCAGACTCCTCATTCCACATCAGTTTCAGGGCTCGGACAAAGACCTGTGCAGAGCCTCAGAAGCCTTTCTTCTTCAGGGATGCTCGGCACACATCCTGCTAAAGAGGTCTCTTTGGCCATCCTTCAAGTGACTGCTACTTATTCCACATTTAAGAACCCTGACAATTAGAAGAAACTCCCTTGCCTGCTCAGTTACAGGGCAATAGTGAGAACCAAGTCAGAAGACTCAAGACTATTTCCACCAAGTACAGTGGTTTCTCCTATGGAGTGTCTGTCTCTCAAAGTTGGTGATGGCTCAACTTAATTCCTGCTGCTTAGTCACCAGAAGTCACACTTAAACAATGGATCTACTAGAACACAGCCCGTGGCTGAAAATCTTGTTGCTTCTGTGATTTTTCCCCACCAGAATTCGAGTAAAGAGAAGCCAGCAGCGCAGGACCTGCAGCCACACTAATTGTAGCTCCTGCTCCACGGGTTTCCATCCACAGGTCCGGCAAGGGCCGCAGCTGCAAACTGCCTCAGAAAGAGGCCGGGCAGTGATGGTGACAGTCCCAAGACCTGCTGGTTAGACTGAGACCCAGGTATTAGGTCGATCACAACTTTCCCTGGCCTGCAGCGGCATTTGTCTATGGATGCCCAAGTGTGTTTTAAGGTTTTGATTTTATTTATTTATTTATTTATGCCTCAGCAGCAAAGTTAAAGAGATGTTATGTTGCAGAAACCACATGGCCTCCTGAAGTGTGAATTTTCTGTCCCTGCATAGAAAGCATTTGCTGGTTACCACCCTGACAGGTTCTGAGTCCACACATCCGTTCTTGTCCTTTGGCTCGATGTTGCTTCCTCTGAGGGTCCTGAACACCTGGCTTAGGGGCGGCCAGTCCTACTCCGTGCGCACTCCTCTACAGCTCTTGGCTGAGGCCACCTGGCTCACTCAGCGAGGTGAGAAACCTAAGCTTCCTAAGGGTGAGCCTGGCCTGTGCGCCCCACTTCTCAGTGTGTAGATGGTAAGTGTGCGTGCTACAGCCAGATCACATCTGTGTGAAGGGAGCCGCGAGCATTAGGTCTACCTGGTATCACAGCAGAACCAAGTGTCCCGTCTTCAGGCGGTAAGACAGCTTTTGATATTTACAAAAAGGGAGAAACCTACTCCCTTCTCAAAGGGTTAAGTGATGATACACAGTAACCATATCAGGCTGTAAGGTAAGACAGGATGTATCACATGCCAACAGGAAGAAGGAAAACAGGATTGAGAGCTTCACGGCTTCCGGGCACCAAGGGACAGGTGCTTAGCACCTGCTCGGACCCTCCCACCCAGTCTCTACTCCAGGGGAACTCAACCCCATCAAAACACAACCCTCTGCCTATAAATAGGAAGGTCTTTGAGACACTAATTAAAAATAAGTCTGGCATTTGGAGTCTCTGATAAACAAAGGGCCAAGAGCAGAAACAAACACAACAGTTGCTCATTTGATCTATACATAGGTATTAAGGACTGCCAGTGTCTCCCCAGGGGCTTCTTTCAATTACTCCTAAATCTGTGGACTTGGAAACTATGTAACAAAGTCACCTTCTCAGTGAGTGTAACCCACTTTACTAACTCTGAAAGCCACTAGAAAAGCCAGTATATCTAAAACAGAAGCTCAAAACTATAAGGTGCTGAACAGCCAGAGCCTGAAACCACCTCTGTGCTGCGTGCATCTCATTCTGTGTACATCCCACGCAAGGGGCCCAAGTTTCAAGTGCCCAACAGCCCAGGTGCCAGTGGCTGAAGTGGACAGAAAGCTCAGAGCTGGTTTTCTTATAGTCTCTGCATTTGAGAGTGCTGTGTCAAAGACCAGTTCTCTTTGAACTTTTGTTTTTTCCCTTAGGATGATTAAATACATTAAATACTTATGGTTTTGTGTTTTTCAAAGCTGAAATAAGCTAAGCGAGACTGAGGCACACATCACACTGCTTTACCACAGGCATCACTTTTACTTTGTAAACCGTGGCTGCTAGATTCGTTTTTCATTTCCTTTACACATGGCTTCTGGCCCTAGCTGAATGCAGCCGGGATGCTTCCACACATCTGAGCTGACTTTCCTTAATGGGCAAGGGAAAGGCGGCGCCGCCAGAGCACAAAATGACCCGCCCAAGTCTTAATTCAAACGACTCCACCCTGTTGCTCAAGATTTTGAGAAACTTGTACTATCTTTATGGTTTACTCATAGGAGGGAACTCCTAGGCCTCCAACAGTTACAAATACAAAGTGATCGCCGGGGAATACTGGAGGAGGCACGAGCTGAGCACTTGCTTCTGGAAGACCTGTTCTTGACTGGCACAGGGCATCATGTTAAAGCCAGCAGTGAGCTCATCTCTCTTCCCACCAGTGGGGCACACCGGTTCGATTGTTACCTCAGCATCCTGCTCCTGGAGGCGGTACGTCTGCTGGAGGCTCTGCAATGTCTGGGGGCTCAGGGCCTTCTGCTCTAAGAGACACTCCAAAAGCAAGACGATCTGGTCCGGAGAAAGCTGCGGACAAAAGAAACAGCCCTTGAAACGTTATGTACCCAACAATAAGATAAAAACAGGGTTCTAACTCAGGCATGGTTCTATGTCTGAAAGATGGGGTGTGCGGGTGCTGACTTTGCTCGGACATCAGGTTTATACTCTCTGCGGCCCCAAAGATTGCATACACCACAAAATGTTTCCGGCTAGACAAGGACTCAAGAGATTATCCAACTTTAGGCAAATCCACAGGAGTTACCATAAGTAGGTAGGTTCAGATTTCTCTTCTGAACCATGTTAAGCCTGCAAGGCACCTGTTGAACCCTGAAAAATAAACACAGTGTAACAATTGCCTCCTCTCACAGCCCCTCCCCTTCATGAGGAGTCTATTTTTAATCTGTGAGTTTAAGATACTAAAATCACTTTACAGGCTGCAGGCAAGCAAACGCACAGCAATGGACACGCCTGAGTACACAGGCTGTCTCACTCAGTACTCAGATAGCTGTCACACCGCAGTCGCTGGGAGAACGGCAAGAGCAATGGCGGGCATTTGTGTGCGATACAAACAGAACAGAGTAGCCATGGACAAACATCAGCAGTGCTCAGCCAGGAGCCACGCCCTGTGGGGCCCTCTCAACCCAGCAGCAGAGTGGAGAGAAAACTCAGGGTACACCTGTATTGACTGAAAAAGGTTCATCCTAAAATCAGAGTTTAACAATTATTTACACTAATTCTACATTCTCTATGCTGGCACCCCTCCATGCCTAGATACGCCTGACAATCCTGAGCAAATCAAACTTCTGGGGGCCAACGCTAGGCCAACAGAGGGTGCTTATGAACACCAGGATTTTAACTGCCAATTTCTAATACACAAAAGATGTTAACTTACCAAAACCCTTTTCTCTTCTCGTCTCTCCCTTTTGTCCTAAAATACATGCTTTGCCTGGACCCCCCCCCCCCCCGAAATGTGCACACACTGGGTAGTCTCACCAAGAAAGTATCTCTCACCCTTCCTTCCTTCCCTCCCTCCCTCCCTTTGAGAAAAGGTTTCACTTTCTAGACTGGCTGGCCTGGAACTCTCACTATGCAGACCAGATGAGCCTGTCTCTGCTTCCCCTGGGGTGCTGGGATTAAAGGTGTGTGCCGTCACTTTTAGTATTTCTAATGTTTCTGTCTCACCTTAAATCTTAATGAACTTGTTTCCCCAGTGACAGACCCAGTGCCCACAGCATTGGTTCCTGGGTGTATTTATTATGTAGTTTTGCCCCACCTACGGTTATACCATGGACAGATTCTGAAGCAAACAGAATACCAGCTATCTCTAGCAAGATGGCCCTGACCTAGGAGATCCTAATGTAAGGATTCCATAAATGAGTCCATTCCCTTCCTGAGATAAAGTTTTGCAAGATGTAGTGATACTAAGAGAACCCAGCTATTTGCTAAAGCAGGCCAAACCCAGGACCTCCAGTCCCTAGGAGCCTCACCTGTCCCTAAGCACATGCACCTCAGGTGTATGTGGGCCATTCGGGCTCCTTCCCAGAGGCGCCTCCTTTCCATCACTGAGAGCCCTGGCTGGGGCCTGTCTCTCCGGCCCTCTTCCTTCTGGCCGCCCATCAGACCCTACAGCAGCTTCGGCATTTCCAGGGAAGCCGTAACTTGTCAGCTCAAGGCCTCGAATGCACCCTTCCCTAGAGACTACACACCTGAGACACCTTCACGCACAGCGTCTGCCCTGGGTCCTTAGCTAAGGCTCCTCAAGTCACCCCATGGCTTCTCTAGGTTTTGTTGTTGCAGTGGCTAACCATATACCTGACCTGGGTATCCCTCCTGGGTTCAAACACTGAACACAACTCCATTTAAAGAGTGAGAACTGCTAACACTTGAGCCGGACGAAACGCTTGAATCAACACCTGTGTGCTGTTTTCCTTCCAACAGAAAGCTCACATCTGCACTCAAACAGAATCAAAAGGGTCATGGAAAGCTTTCGTCGTCCCAGAACTGAGGCAATGGAAACATTTAGAACTAAGCCCCCTGACTTTAAGACTGACAGCTGAGATGACAGGAGGGCTGGCGGGAGGAGGACATAAGCACTCAAACCTTTGGGGGCTGTTTCCTAAGTTTATCTGGCTCTAATTAAAAGGTGGGAAAGAGGGAGGGTGCACCCCCTTCCAAGGATTCCACCCCCCATCATTCAGGAAGATACAGACGCCCTCATGCAAGCGCTGACTTGTTCGGAGGTGGGCAGGACAGAAGGCACAGCCATGCTGAACATTCCTCTCTAATGCTGGGAGATCTCTGCTAGTCTGGCCTTTGTAGAATGGACTTGGAGAAAGCACTCCATTAGTAAACAACCTGCGGCCACCTGGCTCTCCAATTCATGGGAAAAAGTAGTCTCTAAACAATGAAGAAAGTAGATACAAATTAGAGGCCTAATGCTGTTTTCGGCCACAGATAATAAACTAACATTCATTCACAAGTAAATATTATACATAAAAAAGGATTACAGGCTTGAGAAGAGGATGCATTAAAGCAAAAGTATTTTAATAGAGTGAACTTTGTAAAATACAAATTTGCTCCCTGTCAAGCCATCCCGCGATGGAAAAGTTGTAACACATGATAGATGTTCACAAAGGGACTGAAAGATCTGGAGTACTTGCAAATGTGCTGGGAGGCAGTGCTGGACAGTGGGCAGTCCTGGCAGCTGGCACAGGGGAACATCCCACTCCCAGCCACTTTCATATAACTTTGGGACCAACTGTGAGCTATCACTGAGGCATTGCAGGAGACGCAGAATAACCAGGAAAGAGCCCGTGTCGGTGAGCACGGGGCCCCGGGTCGCCAACTTGAAATGTTTCCCACAAGATCTGCCTTTCTGGCTGGGGCCGACAGCTCATGCTTGAAATTCAGTTGCAAGAAGAGAAAAAATTCTTCCTTTTCACAAACAAGGATCTGTGATAAGGTTATTATTTCCACAATGGGAACACCTCGGTATTGTAATAAGACCTCTGCCCAGAAAACTCGAGACAAAATAAGACCATGAGACGCCCAGATCATAAGGGTCCTTGAAAAGAAAGAACCACGCAGGCCTGTAAAACTTATTTAAACGAACACAAGAAACAAGAAGCAGCAGGAAGTCAGGCAAGTACAAACACTATTTGTTAATTGTGGAAGTCTGTATTCTTGCCATAAACATTGAAGACTTCATAGTTGTTAATTATGAAGAAATGTACAAAAAAAAAAGTTAATTCAGCTGTGCCCCCGCAAAGTTAAAAATTGAGACAAGCGGCACAACTTTCAACTGTTTTACAGTTTCTTGGAGAAAAAATGTGAAATTCCCAATCCCCGGCCCCCATTCACAAGTATAAACGGCACAACAGAAACAAACCCTGGCTCTTCCAGGAGGCAGGGGCGGATGTCCCTCTGAGCTCCTGGAGGACAATCCACTCACTGCAGCCCCCACCTTCCCCTCCAACAGCACAACACAATGCAGAAAAGCCAGTTTAACCCGTCGAATCAGAAATGCCACAGATACAAGTCTCACCATCAAGGTTCTACAGGCACAAACATCAGGGCTGCAGCTGGCATGCGCTGAAGGCCAAGGGGAGCCCCGAGCCCCTCCTTTGCAGCCCAGCTGGTGCACAGCAGAGGCCGGCATGAGGAAGGAAGTCGGTGCAGCTCCAGACGGAGTGAGCCTGAGACTAATGCAGCCACAGACTGACAGTGGCGTGAGTTCTATTATTACCCCATTATCACTCTGGGATCTGAGCCGAAATGAAGCATGCTTCCTCCCTGGTGCCATTTCCTTTTATCCTGGCTGGAGACTAAAAGCGGATCAATGGGGGCAATAATGTATGATGTCACTTCCATTATAGCGACAGCCTCCCCTCCTCTTTCAGTCTGTCTGAAACACACAGAAAGATCAATTCTTCCCAAAAATGGTTAAAAAATGCTTTGGGAGCATGCATCTTCCAGAAGAGCATTCTCTGCTATATTTGTCTATGTTACTTCGGCAGGAACTGTTTACACAGAACAAAACAGAAGAAATGGGGGAGGGAAGAAAATCTCAAATTCTCCTGTAGGCTGGAGACTTGCTGGCTGAAATTCAATCCAAGCAGGGGCCAAGGCAGAATGTGAGCCGCTGACCTTTCAAAGTCACGTGTAGAAGGTGAAAGGTGACCTCACAAATCTAAAACACCTTTCATTTTATGAGGCGTTCCGAATCTGGAAAATTCCTTGCCACCTTTTCCAGGAAACACAACCACCACTCTGCAGGCCCCAAGACAACCCACTCAGGTCCATGGGTGTCTGGTACCGATGAGACACATGAATGGAACCGAGGAAGACAGACATTGCTCTGAGCCTTGAAATAGAACTCTATCTAGTGATTTTCACTTGCAGACGATTCAAGGTAAGGATATAATGGAGAAAGTTCCAACAGTCCAAAGAGAAACAGAAGCAGGAGCAGGAGGAAGCCGGGTCTCTGCCGGACAGGAGAAGGCTCCTTCTTTGCGAGGCTGCACCACCAACAGGCACAGTTCAAGGGCGGTGACGGCACGGACTTCAGGACAGAACTAACCTGTCTTCCATGCATGAGAAACTTAAAGAGGAACTAGGGCTGCCATCACTGCTGCTACTGCAGGCAGCAGAAAAGCCTGCTCTCTGCATGCGTTTTCACTCTAATCACATTGTCAAGACCGAAACACAAGACTGGAAGACTGAGTGTGAACCCTGCCTGCGTTATTTTCAGGGTAAAATTGGAGGCAGCTAGCAAAGGGAGGTTACCAAGTAATGAAAAGTAAAAATACTGTCGCTTCAAACCACAGAAATCAACCAACAGGCACAGGTTCCTATGGTAGCCACCCTTTCAGAAGTCACTGCAACAGCCTCACTGTGATGTGGGAAACATTGCTAACAGTTGGAGATGCTAGGCAAATGTCTAAGCCATGCTTGGATAACAGCCCATCCATGCTATACACAGTGTGTCAAAAAGTTTGTTCTCTATGTTCTGTGAACTACGTGAAACC